TCTGGATAATGAAACTCAATCTACCAATGCAGGCTGGCACTTTCTTTACAACTTAAGAGTTGTAAGGAGTTGTCCAGTGCATAGAGATTAAGTGAGTTGCCTAAGGTCACGTAGCCAGTACATACCAGAGGTGGTATGTGAACATGAGTCTTCTTGAATCAGAAGGTAGCTCTCTACCCATTATACCATGGTGACTCTCGTTATTACTTCATATACTACAATTTACTCTCTATTTACTCAATCATTCTCTAATCAACGGGAACATTGCCGATTCCCAACTTTTTGCCATTATGAATATTTTAATATAGTTGTGTCATGAGTATTTTTGTACAGATATGTTTCTTGGGAGGGAGTGGGGGAAGGAGGCCAAAATCCTGTTTAGTTAATTGCTTTACAGAGTGATTAGTAGGTATACAAGATTTTGATAACTTGTATTATAAAATTCAAATTCCATTCAATTAGCCAGATCTTTAAGTACTTATTATTTGAAAGGCACTATACTAGGTCTCGGGAGAAAAACAGCTCTCCTTCAAGTTTACATTTTACTGAGGTACTTAGCAGTAACTGCCCAGGGAGCTTTTACCTCTGTACCTTAGTACTCTCTATACACAATTATAAGATGTGAAGGTGACATGAATTTCTCAAAGGCTACACTAGAAGACCATAAGCTCTGTCAGTTACTATCAAGTTGGAAAGGCTGAGAGTACAGGCCCATCGATGAACTGCATGTCTATTGTTCAAGGACAAGCTCAGCAAAGTTCACTGCATTTGCAGCAGGGTGATAAATTTTTTAGCCACATCAACTCTGGAAGGAAGAACCAAAGGAAAGAAGGGAGGAAAAAAAGAAAGGAAGGAAACATTTATTAAGTGCCTATTACATGCAAAGCACTAATAAGCAATTTACATTTATTATGTCATTTGATCCTTACAACCCTGTAAGGTTAGGTGCTATTATATCTCCATATTACTGGTAAGGAAACTGAGGCAGAGGCTAAATGACTTACACCGGGTCATACAGCTAGTAAGTATCTGAAGCTGGATTTGAACTCAGGTCTTCCTGACTCCATACTTAGCACTCTACCCACTATTACTATCTAGCTACCTCTATGTTTTCCTTATTTAATTCCACTTTTTTGAATCCCTTGTTACTGAAAATTTCAGACCATTCCATTTGTCAGTACTCTTCTCTACCATATTTTTTTGTATTTACTTGGTATGTACTTTATATTTACTTATCTATGAATATATTATATTTCCTCAGTAGAATTTAAGGTCCTGGAGGGCAGGGATTCTTTCCTTTTTTGTCTTTCTATCCCCTGTGCTTAGCACAGCCACTGAGACATAGGAGACATTTAATAGATACTTATTGAATTAAATAATAAGAGATACAACATGTAAAACAGGTAAAATATAAGCTAATTTGAGGACAAGAGTACCAACAAATAGGAGTATCAAGAAGGTTTCCCTTCAGAGGTGGTACCTGATTTGAATCTTGAGGGAAGCTAAGGATTGTAAGAGGATGTGGTAAAGATATAGTGCAGCTAAGATATAGGAGATAGCCTCTGAAAACTCATAGAGGCCAGAAGTATCATGTTAAACTTAGGAAATAGCAACTAGGCTATTCTAACTGGGATGTAGAGTATAATAAAATAAGTAACATGAATAAATATAGAAAGCTAGAAATCAGATTAGAATATAAACTCATTTTTGAATGTTATGGAGAATGGTAGATTATTGGCATTTCATTTACGTTCCATATTCAATAAAAATCTCATTACTTAAGAATTTGTGGTAATTGTGGTGGTGTTTTTTTCAATGAAAAATCTATTTTCCCTCCACCCACTTTCTCTCTCACTTGGAAAAAAAAGAAAAAAAACTCCTTGCAAGAAACTACTCATATTCAATCAAAATAAATTCTTGATTAGCCATGTGCAATCTCCATTTTCTATTAGTGGCTTCGCTTGGTTTCCATTTCATTGAACATCATGCCTCTCCGAGGATAAGCTGATCAACTGAAATCATATGACCATACAGACTGATTCAGCTTTTGATATTCAATACTTTCTCAACTCCCTCAATTGCCTCTGTCTTCTGACTGGAGGATCGAACAATAAATTTCTCCCAAAGACTTACTTTATAGAGGGCTCAGAACTTTCCAGGTAACATTCCATTTTCTATCAGTGACTCTGTTTGGTTTCTACTATATGGAATATTATTTCCCCCCCCTACACACACATTGGGTCCCTCCTGCTGCTCTCCTTCCCCTTCTCTTTTCAGTTGTCTTTTGTGTATTGCTGTCTTCCATTAAATTGTCAGTTTCTTGAGGGCAGGTACTGTTTCTTTTTCTAATTTGTATCCCCAGCATTTAGCACAGTGTCTGGCATGTAGTAAGCACTTAATAGATGTTTACTGCATTGAAATGAATGTCCAAAAAATAAATGTCTCAATCTTCAACTTGAGCTTATCAGCTCTCTATCAGGAAGAGAGTGACATACTTCATTCATTATTAGTCCTCTAAAATCACAATTGGTCCTTGTGTGGATCGGAGTTCTTATGGCTTTCAAAGAAATGTGATTTTACAAAGGTGTTCAAATGACTATCTTTTTTAATACCAGTATTCTTAATGTGACAAAGACTGTCTATAAAACAAGTAATACCATAATGTCCAAAGAATGAAAGTTGTAGTTCAACCAAAGAGTAAGGAAGTGGTATATTGAGGTATATTGGAGGTGAGTAGTTCATGTCATGTTACTATATATGACTAGAAAATGATGTCACAGGTTATATAGTGAGAGTCGGGGACAACTGATAGGCAATTCACAAGTTCCACTGGTAGCTATGCCATGTTAAGAGAACTAAAGTACACTACTTTCACCCCAACTTTGTATGAAACCTGTTTTGCATAAATTCATGGACTTGACTTTTATAGAGTGAAAAGGCATGAGTAGGCTGTAAATCTGAACAGATGGAAGTAGTATCCTTCCATGTCAGTGAAATCACAGGTACATTTAAATATTAAAGTAGGCCTAGGATTTAGCATAGTATTTGGTACATTGTTAGGTATTTTATAAATATTTGTTGAATTGAATTCATTTAAAAGCAACCAAGTATTGGTATAGGGATACAGGGGAGAGGAACATTTACAATAGGACTGTAGTATCTAATGAAGCTTCAGTAGAGATGTCTCTGACTTAAATATTTTCCCTAGAGAGAAAAGAAATCTCAGTGGGTTGATTCTAGGTTTTTGTTTTGTTTTGTTTCATTCATGAAAATGGAAGAAGCGGAAACAGGCAGAGACCTAACCCAGGACAAGAGCCTGCCTAGTACTGAGGCAATACATGGGGGAAAGAGGCAGGAAGTACTGTGAGAAAAGATTAAGTAAAACATCACCAATACAAGACAGACTGTCCTTTTCGGAATAAACAAGCTTCACTGTGGTGTTGCTACAAGTGAACAAACTGACCCAGAGACAGAGATGAGTTGGTCAAGGTCACAAATAGTTTGTAGCAGAGATGGGACTAGAACCTAGGTCTCTGGATCCAAAGTCTCAGCAACAGGTTTTGTTCTACATCTTAAATTTGCTCTTTGACCTCATTTTCAGTGCCATTGTCAAACTGTCTAATTCTCTTAAGGCCATAACTTACCTTAACCCCAAAGTTGGCTTAAGGGGGAAAAATACATAATTTTTCAAAAACACATTATAGCAATCAGATGTCAAATCTGACATTTCAGTATTGATACTGAACAATTTCAATAGTTCAGTTTAATTTTAAACGACTCATGCCTCAAAAGAGTAGATGAATACATATATAACCTGAATGAATGAATGAAAAAACATTTATTAAACATTTACTATATGCCAAACTGTGTTAGGCATCATGACAGATGCAAATTAAATGATAGACTGTCCTTGTCATCAAGGAGTTTACATTCTAATAGGGAAGGCCAACATATATAGGTGACCAGGGAAGGTCCCAGAGATGGTAAACAGAACCACAGTGCAGTTGATTGACACACCCTTTCCAGAAGCAATGTTAATATTAATTTGGGTAAGTATGCATATAGGAAGCATGGCAGGAAGATGTCCAAGGCATGGTCAGAGGTTTGAGGCTGGTAAGAAAAGAGTTGGTTGTCGACAATCAGTACAGAATGGCCCCAATGAGGGAATCTGAGTAAAAGTAGAAGCTTTAGGACAGGAAGATGACCCCTGGGGTGAATAAAGAATCTGAAGCTAGGTATTTTTATTCTCTTAAAGTCCAAAACATATTTTGGTTATATAACTGTACGAAGAGAACAGATGGTTATTTTAATTTAAGAAGGCACCACGAGGCGACTACAACCAACCAAATATATTTTTGTTGCCACAAAACCTGGAAACACACAGTAAATTTCCAAAGCATTGAATCGTTTTTGTTTTCCAATCTGGAAAATAATGTGATCTTGTGATCAACAAATTGTTCTTTTTGTTTTTAAAAATAAATAGTGAGTTCCCAAGAAGACTTCAAGTACAGGCTGGATGCCCATTTAGGAGGGACATTAGGGAAGAGAGTCATATATGTTGGTCAGGATTGGACTAGAAGACTTCTGAGGTTCCCCCAAACACTCAGTTCTATGATTTAATAACCTGAAATGCTTATACTAAAACAGTGCAACTGAAAATGGACTTCAAAAGGCAAGAATTCACACTGCAGTAAATCAAAAGACCTTTGTAATGACAAAAGAAGCCCATAATATGATGACAGCCTTTCTGGATTGCTGTTCTTTTTCCTAAGGAAGGCTCTGCTATTTCTATGTGATCTTGATCAAGTCTTATCCCTTCTGTGGGCTCAATTTCCTCATTAGAACAACAAGGGGGTTGGATTGTTTAACCTTAGAGGTGCCTTCTAGTTCTAAATCTATGATCCTATGACAAGTGTTTAGGAACCAGGTTTATGATCATGTGAACTCTAAGGCTGAGATGAAAAAAAAATCTGACTGCCTTAATGCTTTTTCTACTATAGCTTGAGAATTATATCCAGGACAATATGAAGAAAGAAATGGTAGAGATGCAACAGAATGCTGTACAGAATCAGACTGCAGTAATGATTGAAATAGGAACAAATCTATTAAATCAAACAGCTGAGCAGACACGCAAACTAACAGATGTTGAAGCCCAAGTAAGTAAGAAAATTCTAATCACAAATGCCTCAGTTACTGTAAAAATATCACTGCATGGATGATGCAGCGTGACTTAACATTAATCTAAACAAACTGAAGCTAATTAAGGCTAGACTAAAATCAGAAAAAAGTTCAAATGGATTCACATGTAAATTATTTAACTAAGATTACATGGCTATTTTATGACATAAATGTGTCTTTACTTTGCATAATTTAAATGACCACTTATTTAAAATAGGCTAACCAAATAATATTCATATTCTTTATTTGCTTAGATAAATACACATATATAAATTGCATTCTAATACACTCCACACCACGTTTTCTGGATTACATGGTTGTGAATTAACAGTGGTAAAGGACAGCTCCAACAGGAGTTTGAGATTTTCTATTTTGCCTTATTTAATCTTCATTGGCCATAAACTTCAAATCTGACCTAAGTCCAGAAGTTGGAAATTCTCTCCATCTTGGCTAATTGCTATGGCTAGTTTATCAACAGGTAGGCTAGAATGAATCTGACTAAAGATTTGCATCTAGGACACAATGCTGAAATAGTTTACAAAATGAACATGACAAATTTTTTTAAAAGTTTTTTTTTTTAAAAGAAGGAAAGTCAACAAGTATCAGATGGTATACTTAAGGATGAAAAGGCAAACATTCATATCTAAGATAGGGAAAAATTTATTAGGCTTAAGTCTCTAAGAAAAAGCCTAGAGATCACTCCTGATGGTTCACTTTGGATAAGCAACAACTAATAGCAAATTGCAGAGTAAGGCTGATCTTCATTGGTAAAGAGAATTTTCCCAACTAGAGTTCTCTTTACTATGAAATTATAGGTATGAATTTTAAAAAATCATTGATAAGGATACCATACCCAGGTTTTAAAAAATCTTAGCTTATTACATACATGAAAAATTTCCTGATGCCCTGGGAAAGACTCCCCATCACCATCCTGCCTTAATTCTATATTTACATATGTGTGCACAGATTACATGTCACCTCCTCCCTCCACACCCACACACAAAATGTAAGCTACTTGAAGGAAGGATGTTTTCAATCTTTGTATTCCCAGCATTTAGCAGCACAAAGGCCAGCACATGGCTAGTGCTTAATAAACACTGATTAAATAATTGATACCATGGCATCTACAGAGAATGTTTTGTTATAGTCAGGAAACTGGTTTAAAGATAGAAAAGGGAGGCATATTTTTTGGGGGAGAAGGGCCAATATAGAAGTCTCAGAAACTTGGGTTGGGTTTGATTTTATTTTGAGAAGTTTTACAAATGCTTTAAGAAAGGAAATGCACAATGAAATCTCCAAGTTCATAGATATTACTAAATTATCTTGAGATTACAGATCATTGGATCACAGACTTAGAGCCTGAAAGAATCCTAAAGGCCATCTACCCCAAACCCCTCATTTTTACAGATAAAGAACTGAGGCCCAGAGAGATTAAATATTTGCTAAAGGTCACAAAGGGGTGTGTTATCCCTAATAGGGATTCATACTTAGGTCTTCTTCCTCCAAACTCAGATCTATCCACTGTTCCATGCTTTTGGTTAAGGAAAGCAGAAAAGCTGGAGTACAGAAATGGTAAAACTATTTCTATGTGGGTAACCTTAAGGTAATACATTTAAAGACAATTCATCCAAATAACATCATCGCATGAACTACTTCTTCACTAGAGATTGGAAGAAAAGAGAGAAGGAACCATGAGGTAAAGGGGAAGAAAAGGGAATAAGCATTTATATAGCACCTATTATGTGCCAAGCACTGTACAAGGTACTTTAGAAATAATATCTCATTTGATACAACAAACCTGTGGGGTGGGTGCTATTATTATTTGCCATTTTACAGATGAGGAAACTGAGGCAAAGATAGGTTAAGAGACTTGCCCAGAGTCACACAGCTAGTTAAGTATCTGAGGCTATATTTGAACTCAGATCTTTCTGACTCCAGGCCCGGCATTTTAGCCACTGCAACACTTAGCTGCCTAGTTAAACACAAAGCAGTATGAAAGGGAAAGCACTAACAGCTGAGGAGGTCAGGAAACGTTGTATATTATGTACCCAAATAATGAGCAAAATGATCCACTATGAAAATTCTTGAACAGTTGACATTTGTCAAGAAATACTAACAAAAACTGTTTAGATATTATTGATGTGAAATTTTTTATGCATTATTCAGATATGGCAAAGTGAATGAATTCCCATCACAATTTCTTGATCTTGTATCAAAACAGGCACATTTTATAGAATTTGAAATTCTAAAGAAAATGATGTGATTTCCCATTTCCCTTTAAAAATCTACAAGGTAAAATGTTTAGGCCCAAATTAGAAGTAGACTAAATCTACATTCCAGGTGTCAACAACAAAAGCAAATCCATTGTGTTGGAATGGCTTTATTCATTCACAATAAGGTTTACATGGTATCAACTTGACTCCTTTTTGCTTTGAAGTATAAGACTATCCCTGAAATGGGACATTGTCTCTCTGTGAGGAGGCTAAAGGTTTAGCTGACAACATAAAGGTATAAACCAAACAATTGCTCTTTCAAGGACGGATTCTTTGGCAACAATTCTGAATTACACTGAAGTGTGAAATCATGTCCTGAATGACCATTAACAGGGAGGATGTGAGTAACCAATTCTTCCTGCCAACAGCAGCCAAATACTGATGAATTAAAAAGTCTGCAGAGATATTTGAATACAATGAGAAAAGCGATATTGTCTAGAGAATATACATCAGAACTTCTCACAAAGCAGAAAAAAAATCTACTTTTTATGGCAATTTTATTGTTTCCTAATTGGTGGGGGTTTTATTATTATTTTTTTAATTAAAAAAAGAAGTTGGCTAAAGAAACATAAATGAGGAAATAGTTTAAATGCAATGCTGACCACATGTTGTATATGACATGCTTTTCAATGAATGAAACTCTCATCCTTTTAAATTAAATTTAATTAAAAAAAAAGAACCACTCACTATTCCATTCAAATGTAAACTTTTCCTACATTCTAAATATATCCATTTACATTGGACATATTTGTTGAAGATATTTTCATTTTTTCTACAGTGAAATAAAAAACATAAATATAACATAAATATAAAAAACATAAAAAACTCAGAAACATTTTGCCATGATAACAATAATAACTAGCATTTATATAACACTTTAATATTTGCAAATTGCTTTATAAATATAATCTAATTTTATCCTTAAAACAATCCAGTGAGGTAGATGATGTTGTTATCCCCATTTTACAGATGAGGAAAATAGAGATTAAATAGGAATAATTATAGCACCTACCTTGCAAGGTTGTACACAGTAGGTACTATATAAATGCTTAGCCCCCTTTATCTTCCCTTCCCCAAAATGACTTGCCCAGGGTAACATAAAAAGTATCTGAGACTGGATTTGAACTTGGTCTTTCTGACTCCAGGTCAAGTGCTTTATCCACTGTACCACCTACCTGCTATAACATCATGAGTAAAACTGAACTAATAAAATGTTTCCTTAAACAATGCAGAGATACCATTATTATTTAATATGCTCCACTGAAAGTAAGACTACATTAAATCATTGAACTGATTCAGTACTGGAACGATAAAAAATAAACAATATTTCACATGGAAAACTGTGGGTAAATATGTACTCTTTCAAGTAACACTTTCTCAGTTATAGGAATAAAACTTAAATATTAATTTTATTTAACATTAATTAATTAATTAATATTTAATAATAAAAATGACTTTTGTTCATCTAGGTATTGAATCAGACAACGCGACTTGAACTTCAGCTTTTGGAACATTCCCTTTCCACAAATAAACTGGAGAAACAGATCTTAGATCAGACCAGTGAAATAACCAAACTTCAAGATAAAAACAGGTAATGAAATGAACTGTGGGTTTTTTAAGCGATATTTTGGAATTCAAAGTTCAATTCAATTGGACTCAAAATTTATTGAGGGCCTACTATGTAAGGGTTTGGACTGGGCACTGGGATACAGTGATAGATCTGACAGAGATCTTCTCAGAAATCCTACAATTTAGTTGGGGGCATGAGTGGGAAGAGTGGAGCTCAAAATAACTATGATACATAATACATATAGGATAGGATAGATAGGATAACTACGATGCAGATAAAATACATGGTAGCTAGTTTAGATAGAATGCTGGGCCTGAAGACCGGAAATCCTGAGTTCAAATGTGGGCTCAGATACTTCCCAGCTGTGTGACCCTAGATGTTAACTTTTTTGCCTCATTTTTCTCATCTTAAAATGGGGATAAGAATAGCACTTACCTGTTGTAAGGATCAAATGAAATACTTATAAAGTACTTAGCACAGTGCCAGCCACACAAAAGTTGCTGTATGTTAGCTGTTATTATATCATTATTATTTTTATACTGAAGAAAAGGTATTAAGTAAAAAGGAGGGTCCAAAAAGGTATGAGTAAGCAGAATAGAAGGGATCACCTTCACCTGGAAAAGCTAGGGAGGGCTTTATTTAGGAAGTGGCACATTAGTTGGGTTTGGATCAACCTAATGAACGCAAATTGTGTGTATTTGTATGTGGGTCCTTTCTAGGCAGGGGAGGGGTTGGTGCAAGTAAAGGCAAAGAGATGGGAGTGGGAAAGAATTGGGGAGAATAATCCAACTCCTCTGAAATGTAGAATATGTGAAAAGACCTGTTATGAGATAAGGATGAATAGGTAGAATGAAGCCAGTTTGTGAAGAGCCTTGAATATCAGAATCAGAAGTTCATACATTCAATAAGCATCTGAACATTTTCATCTGATTAGAGTGGTGGTCTAGTACTTGGACAGCAATGGGGAAGACAAATTGAAAAAGGGATGCAGTGGAAGCAAGAAGTCCAATTAGGAGATTACTAGAACAACTGAAGTAAAAGATGCTGACTTGAACTACGGTTATTCTAACCAGAGAAGAAAAGAAAGGACAACCATGAGAAGTGGTATGGAGGTAGACTCAAAAGAACTTCAAAAGTGATTCACTTCAATTAAAATAAAACAAACTCAGCATTTATTAGGGGAAGGGAAGGAGAGACACACACACACAGAGACAGAGACAGAGAGACAGAGAGTGTGTCTATCATGTGCTGGGCACTGTACTGTGCTTTTTACAGATATTATCACATTTAATCCTCACAACAACCCTGTGAGGTAGGTGCTATAATTATCCTCATTATACAGTTAAGAAAACTGAGCCAAAGAGAGGTAGAGTGACTTGCTCAGAGTCACACAGCTAGGAAATGTTCGAGGTCATATCTGAACTCAGGTCTTTCTGATCCCAGGGCCAGCAGTTTACCCAAGCATCACCAGCTGCCTTAGAGCACAAGTGAGGAATCCAGCATGTACACGAGTGAGCAAATGCAAAGTGGATGCAAAGAAATTTCAAGAGGGAGAAAGTACCAATAACTAGATCAGTGGGTAGAGATCAGATGTGATGTAGGTGGTGGTACCTGAGAAGTACTTTGAAGGAAGCTAGGAACTCTAATTGGCAGAGACGAGGAGGAAGTATATATTCTAGATATTGGACACTACTTGTGCGAAGGCCAGAAGTGAGAGATGGTACACTGCATATCAGGGACAGCTAGGAGGTAAGTTTATATGGGATGCAGAATTGAAAATGTGTAAATGAATCAACAGGCTTTTATTAAATATGTACTTCATACCAAGCATTGTGCTAGGCACCAATGATACAAAATTGAAATTGTCCCTGTGCTCCACTGAGGGGTACAATGACAAGACAATACTGATTGGATTCACAACAGATTTATATTATATAATTTCAGATGTAACCTCATTACTACATTATATTACTTTTATTCTTCCCTGGCTGACCATCACATTCCCCACAACCAACATCCTAAACCTTCTCTTTTCTTCAGAAGCCTCTTGCCAAACCATCTGTTCCTTTCCCTACCCCCAGCAGATGATTTCACCTAATTTTCTGAAAGAGGACATTAGATATGGTTTCTCACTTCCTATCTTCCCCTATTAAAAAAAAAATATGGGGCAGCATGGCACAAGGGAATAGCACTGGCTCTAGGGTCAGAGAAATTTAATTCAAATTCAGCCAATGACCTGCCCACAGGGAGCTATGGGTAAGTCACTTAACGTCCCTGGGCCTCAGTTTCCTCATTTGCAAAATGACTAGAAGATCAGTATTCCTAAAACACAATTCAAGAAGTGCTGAAGGGTTGACGAGTGGAAAAAGTTTAAGAAGCCCTGCACTGGGTGACTTCTGAGGCCTCTTCTGTCTCTAGATCTATAATCCTATGAACCTTAGAATCCCTCTTGATGGCACAGTGGGCCTGAAGTCAGGAAGACCTGAGTTCAAATTTAGCCTCAGATTCTTACCAGCCATGATGTGAACCTGGGCAAGTCACTTGATCTCTGTCTGCCTTAGTTTCCTATAATATAAAAAAGGGGAATAATAACAGTACCTACCTCGAAGGATTGTTGTGAGGATTGAATGAGATAGTATTTGTAAAATGCTTAGTACAGTGCCTGGCACAATAGGTGTTAGGTAAATGCTTATCCCCTTTCCTTCTTCTCTACCTCATGGTACCTTCTCTCTTCTGCCCCAATCTCTGGTGAAGAAGTAGTTCTACTTTCTGCCAAAATCAAGTCCTTTTTATTTGCATGCTTCATTCCCTCCTGTCTATCCTTAAAATGTTCCCTTTTCATCAGCTCCTCCATAACATCAATCTCTCCTTATCTATTGGCTCTTTCCCTGTGCTTTTAAGTATGCAGAGGGTTTTCATGATAAACACAAACCAAAATCCCTCAAAAAATTCCTTCACTTGAAATTGCTGTCCCCTAAAGCTATCATCCTTATCTCTCTCATTCACATCAGAGTCAGACTCCTAGAAAAAGCCTTCTACATTCATTATGTCCATTTCCTCAAATCCAGCTAACTTTTCAACTCCTGGAAATCTGGTTTCCAGCCACAGATTTTCCCAAGGTTATTAACAATCTTATAACTGATAAATCCAGTAGCTATTTCTTAGTCCTCATCCTTCTTAACCTCTCCCCAGCTTTTGAAACTGCTGATCACTATCTCATCTTGAATATTTTATCTTCTCTCAAGTTTCTTAACATTGTTCTCTTTTGGTTTTTCTCTGTTCCGAATCACCCTTCATTTCTTACTCTCCTAACTGCAGGTAGCCCTCAAGTCTCTGTCCCTGACTCTCTGCTCTCTCTCTACCGTCTCTTAGTGATTTCATCAGGTATTAAAGGTTCAATTATTATTTCTCTGCTGTTAACTCCCAAATTTATATAACTGGACTTAATCTCTCTCCTGAACTCTAGCCTACATTACAAACTAAGTGCCTGCTGTACACTCTCACTTTCTCAAACTCTACATTCCAAAATGGAACTCACTGTCTTTTCCTCTGAATATTCTGTCCACTCTGTCATACTTCCCTGTTCCTGTTGTACTATCAACTTTCTACTTCTACTCTTCCACTTTTATAAGCTCAGCATCATCCTTGACTCTCCCTTCACTACTTTATCACCCATATACAATCAGTTGCCAAATCCTGTTGATTCTATGTTCAAAATATTTCTTGCATTTGTTTCCTTCCTTCATTTCCCAATTCTAGTTTGGGCCCTCAGTGCCTCTCCCTTGGACAGCTGCAATAGTTTTTCAATTGACTTCCCTATTTTTAGTCTCTTTTTTCCCTAATCCATCCTCCAAAAAGCTACCCAAAAAATCTTCCTATAGGACAGGTCAGATGTTACTATTTCCCTGCACAAGAAACTTCAATGACTCTTTGTTGACTCTAGGATACAATACAAATGTGAATTCTTATCTTGGCATTTAAACCCTTTCTCAACTTGAGAATAACCTACCTCCCTAGATTTATTTCACAGTACTCCTCTTCATGTATGTGTTTCAATCAAACTGGCCTACTCCGTTTCTTTGCCAAACTCAACATTCCATACCTCACCCCCATGTCTTTGAACAGGCTGTTCCACATGCTTGATAGGAGGCGAGTCAGGAGGATACAGTGTCATAGAAGCCAAGGAAGAAGAATATCAAAGAGGAGAAAGTGATCAACAGTGCTGAAAGCTACAAAAAGGTCAAGAAGGATGAGGACTGAAAGGAAGCAACTAGATTTAGCATTTAAGAGATTATTAGCTTCAGAAGAGTGGTGGGTTTAGCAGCTAGGTTATAAGTAGTTCAAAAGTAAATGAATAGTGAGGAAATAGAGGTAGGTTTAAATAATTTTAATTTTTTCATAATTATGAACATGCATTGATGAACTTATTATCCCTATCAAAGAAATCTGGTGGACAATTAAGGAATTAGGAAAAAATATTGTTTTTTCCTTCCCAAACTGTCTCCAGAAGGTTAATAAGATATAATTTCAACTTGAGGTTGACAAAGATTTATTTGTTATTTATTTGTCAAGGATCCATAAAATAAGTTTTGAATTTGAACATACTATAATTTCTATTTTTGTTATAATAAAAGGTGACTTACAAATTAATCTAAAAGTCACAGTAATAGAGGATTTTCTTTTCCTTCAAAAGCAAAATTTGCAAGGCAAACCTCCTTCATATGAAAAACATATTTTATTTGTAATAAACTTTAAAGTAAAAAAAAAAGTTGGATTCAGGTTCTGACACAATGTCCATTTTTATATTTTTTGATCCTGCATCCTGAATGTTTTATCAATTGCCTTTGTATAAATAGGATTTTATCCTGGGATCAAGATAAATGTTCAGTTTTCAAATGTCACAGTTTAGAATGACAGACTGAGAGCAAAAGGGACCTTTGTTGCTTTTCTTCCCCCTACAGTTACTAGAGAATGCTTAATTGCTGAAAAATGTAGGAATTAAAAAAAAAACATAGAAAGCAGAACTTACAATTAAAGGTCAAAGTATCCAATATTCCTATTACATCCTATTTCTGAAGAATTTCTGTCAACCACACTTACCAAGGCTTTGTTTGTGTTCCGGGGAAACAATTAACATTCTTAAAAGTTCAGTAGACACATGAACAATACTCACTTGGAAACATGCATTCTATTTTAACAGGAAACACTTCCAGTTTAAAATTAAGTTTACTTTTAATTAACAGTCTTTGTTGAAGCAAGCAAATAAACCAAATTATTCTGAAACCAACCAAGCAATGTCTTGATGTCTACCTTAATAATGCCATTTGTGAAAGGCACAGAGATATGCTCTTACGTAATTGTTAGCTTTATTTTGGGAAAATGAGATATCCATCCTTTAAACAATAAAAAGTATAAATCTTCTAAAATTGTAGTGTAGCTTTAGTTATACTTTTAAAATGTAACAATTCTTCAAGCAACAAGGTAAGTCACAAAATTACAAGGTGAAGAATTAAATGTGAGTTTCTGCATGATGGCATTCTGTGGAAAAGAAGCGAGTCAAATTAAGGTAAATAAGACAGGACAAAACTGTATAAGGAGGAGGCTTAAAATCTTACCTAATTTTAAAGACATACAGCTCTCTTTCCTCAGAACTCTAAACTTAGCAATTATTGTATACTGAGGTTAATGATATTTTCATTATCTTCCCTAGCTCACCAATTATATCACAAGCCACTTGAAAGCAGGGATGTATCTTGGCATCTCTCCACAGTGTCTTGCACATGTGAGATATTCAATAAATATCTGTTGATTAATTAGATCTATATTATTAGAATTAAAATTAATCTTTGTGTGTTTACATGTGTACATATGTATGTATGTATGTACAGTACTTTGCTTTGGTGATGGCTAGAAAACACTAACACTGGCTTTCTCTTACAAGTTTCCTAGAAAAAAAAGTCCTTGATATGGAAGACAAGCATACAGTTCAGCTACAGTCAATAAAAGATGAAAAAGATCAGCTTCAAGTGTTAGTATCCAGACAAAATTCCATAATTGAGGAACTGGAAAAACAGTTAGTGACAGCCACGGCAAATAACTCAGTTCTTCAAAAGCAACAACATGATCTGATGGAGACTGTCCATAGCTTGCTAACTATGATAACAGCACCAAACTGTAAGTGTCGTTACTAAAAGCTTTGCCATCTCATTAGTCATTAATCACTGATGCTCTCAATACGTTAAAACAAAACATGGCTTATCTTTCCAATAAAACATCTTTCTCTGTATGCTGAATCATAAAATCTCTTTGGGATTTACTGGACTACAAAGAACACACAAAAGATATGTATACATATATCTTTACATATATATGAATTTATTCGTGATATAAATATATTCTGGAGACTTACTATAGAACACTGCCCTTAGGATAGTCTTACAGACTATACTGCTTTTAGCTAGTGCCCTGTTATAATTATGTAACTAAATCTCCTTGAAGGAAATTCAAGATGGACCCACCTTGTACCTACTTCTCTTTCATATTTAATGGGATTTTGTAATACTTAATATCCCATCAGAGTTAATTATGAGGTATTATTAATACAGCTAACTGATGATGAGTGACAGCTGTCAAAAATCTTTTCTGAGGTTCACATGAAAATGTTCTAAACATGTAACTTCTTGAAAGATTAAAAAGCAGCAATATGTTCTTTCTGTGACTGAATCAATTGCTTTTCATTTCAAGCAGGAATATAAATATAATAAGAAGAGCCTGTCAATATATGACTCAGACTTAAGTATTTAACTGCTGGAAGAAATAATTTACTTTACCATACACCTCTTAACTGCTGTCATTTAATTTTTTTTTTTCACAGCCAAGAGCTCCTTTGTGGCTAAAGAAGAGCAAATAATTTTTAGAGACTGTGCTGAGGCTTTCAGAGCGGGCCTCACCACTAATGGCATCTACACATTAACTTTTCCTAATTCTACTGATGAGGTCAAGGTAAGCTACTTCTCTCCTCATCCCTATTTTAACTTCCCTAGTTTTAAACAGCCATTTTAGAATATGATAACCTAGCATGACCTGCAACTTTCTCTACCTTCAAATCTCATTTGGCTGCCATGTTGTACAAAGCTCATTTCATTAGTTTCAATAATTAATAGCCATTGTGTGCTGGATCTATAATGTCAAATAATGGTGTTTTAAAAGTAAGATTTATTGATTACTTTTATTTCTACATCCAATTCATTTTTGCAAATGATCCTACCACATGCATACTTTTGGCAAAGCACTGAGCTAGATACTATGCTCTTACAAAGATTAAACAATACACAATTTGTGCCCTCATAACTTCACAATCTATCAGAAGGACAGCACCACAGCATACAAATAACCATAATACAAAAGGATATAAATTAAGTGCACAGGGGGTACAAAAGCTGTTCTGGGAGGAAAAGGATCATGACTGGGAGAATCAGGAAAGACTTCATGGAGGATGTGGTTGGCAAAGGGGTATACATGTTATATATCAGGGAACAATGTGAAGTAGATATGTTGAGTCTGATTAGTATCTTATTGCTTGATCTTTCTTGACAACTTTTTAAAGTTAAATTTCTTTACTTGTTCTAGACTTTCAATTCTGCCTTTTTCCTTTATCTCTGAGACTTTAATAGGTCTCTCTTATTTAGAACCTACAGCATCAATCTATCCATCAAAAAGCATTTATTAAATGCTCACTGTGTGCCAGGCACTGTGCTAAACAATGGGAATACAAAGAAGGGTAAATAATAATCCTTGTCCACAAGGAGCTCACATTTTAACAGTAGAGAATTAGAACAGGGATTATAGGCAGAGGGAACTGTAGCATGAGGAAACCCATAGCAATGTGTTCACTTTAGTTCTGTTATCTAATTCTCCCTTGAATCCAAGAACTTCAGAGTTGGAAGGAGCATTTTTTTTCCATTTTCATTTTTGAACTGAATTTTAGGGTGCATGGATCAGAACACATTTTTAAAGTTAATTTATGCCAGTGTGGGCAAATTTAAAAAAAAGATTTACTTGAAAATTATGTTATCTTGGCTTGTACACTATTTTAAAAAGCCATGATCAAGGTTTTTTTTTTCCCAACTAATATTTCAACCTCCAACCCCTTTCTCTTAAGGTTTGCTATTTTAAGTAGTATTTTCATGAGATACCAACTGAAGTGCTGATAAGAGAGTTCAAAGCCTGAAGAAATACTGCTGAGAGTCTCCACAATTTCTATTAGGATCGTTTACACTGTGCAAAGGATATAGCGCACAATTAGTTACCCTTTGCTTTACATAGGACCATATTTGCAAATAGTGAATACACATTATCTAATATTTATGTAACATTTCAGTTTTCATGTAATCATATTTCACTTTATCAGATACATAGTGACCAAATTAAAATAATCCCATGGAATGGGCTTTTGTTCCTTGTTTTCCTTCAAGAACTCAAGGGCAGTCAATAGCAAGCTTTGCAGAAGCATTCTCCCCCAACCCCAGGAGACTCACCAATCACTACTGGGCCACATGTTTGTCTTTCCTGATGACGACTCTCATTAAAGAACAAACATTAGACCAGAGAAGAGAATAAATCAATCACTTTGGAAAATATGCTAACTCTTTCAGAGTCCATCTGAAAAGTTAGAGAGGAAGAAAAGGCCTTCATTATTACAGGAAAAAATTTTGGGGGGCAATAATCTTGTGCTACTCTCAAGTATTACTGTCTTATTAAGTATAATACAATTAGACACTGATAGTACTTGCCACGTAAGAGATGTTTGTAATTAATGTGTGTACAATTCTATGGGTAGTAAATGCGTACATATGTAGCTGCAGTGGGAGCTTGCATAGGTGGGAGGGAGAGATTTTTTAAGTACAAGTTGTTGCGACAGGAACATGGGATAGCGTTAACAGAAAGTTATGTGGGTGGAGGGTAAATTTAAGTCATATATAGTATAGTGGGAAGAACACCAGGCTTAGAGTCAAAAGACTAAAGTTCAAAGCCTAGCTATGATACTTAGTGCATATGTGACTTTGGGCAAGTCATTTAACCTCCATACCCGAGCTGTTGAATAACTATAAATACAAATGTCAGGCTATATATTTCATTCAGTCTCTGAATGACAGATTCTAATGAAGTACAAATATTTGTAAGAGGATAAATTTGTTATAGCAGTAAGAAAAAAGTTCATTTGTTAAAATAAAGGAATTGGACTAGAACATTTTGATTTTAGTTGGCAATATTCATACAGGTTTCTGCACAAAGGGGAATCTTATAGTCATGTACATCTCAGGCATGGCTGCTCATTTTTTTTTTTAAATCAAAGTTTCATTTAAAAAAACAACCAAACAAACATTCAAAATTAGGAGCTGGGCTAGGTCACACAGAGGTCCCTTCTGCTCTGAGGTCTGGGAGGAAACCAGGTTGGGGGTTACAGCTTTGTGCGTGGCTGCTCATTTCGCTGATCATGGGTACAGCAGTTCCTTTCTTTGTCAGAAATACAGTGTCCCCAGTTACTTGGATCATTACGCTAAATTCATGTCTGTTTTTCTCAATTAATTGTTTACAGCTGATGCATAAAATGTAACACAAGCATTAATTGCCAAAAGAAAATCCAAGCTATACTTCTGTTAGCAGGAATACCAGATCCTTGAACCATGCAACAGAATGTTAATCAAATGCATTAAGTGCCCTCAGAGTTTTTGTAATCCAAGAAGCTAATGCCTTTATCGGCACTATTTGAGGCCTCCTGCATTTCTGATCCAGATAGAATCAACTGAAATGTTTCCACTTAATGCATCTGTTCCTTCTGGCTATGCAAACTATTTTATCTGAAAAATTTTTCCTGTGAAACTTATAAAACCTAGTTAACTGTAACCCTCATGATCTACTTTTTGAAAATCCCTCTTTAAAAAAAATCTGACCAGGTCACAATAGGCACAAAATATAATTTCCACAGCTCTATCATTAATGGAGTTAAAAACAATAGATATAGTTCCAGATTGCTTATGTACTGACATTGGAATGCCATTCAATGTGAGCAAAGGAAATCTAAAACCTCCCCAAAAGCCCTAGAACAATAAGCAGGTCTCTTTTCATCTGCCTTTTACAGCTTTTTAGCACTTAACATAGAAATACTGCAATATTATAAAAAAAATTACTTCAGGTGCAAAGTTCTGTCAGTTATAAGGTACTGGAGAACTTAATGCAACGTACCTTGGTGGTCTATCAGAATAAGGATTGTCATAAGTCAAAAAGCAGGCCAACTGAATGAATTTTTATTTAAAGATAGGCAGGGTGATATTTTCCCTCAATATAGATTATCAACTTTGTAGGTTCTGCCATTTCAACAAATTCATCAGTAAGCCTGATAATAGCTTTCAATAGTATTTGAAGATACACAAAGCATTTCACATATATTATCTCATTTGAAACACTCACTAGGTGCAATGGCTAGGTGAGCAGCAGCATAGTGTAAGGAAAAGAACAGTCACCGAGGCTCCAGACCCAGATCTATCACATATTGGTGCATACACTTGAATCTCTTCCTCTTTCTGATGCTTTTTCCTCACTTGCAAAATGAGGATTTGCCTGGATAGTAAATGCTACATAGAGAGAGGATTTCTTAGTTGTTTATTATGTGCTAGGGACATGTGAAGTGCTGGGTGCATAAATACAAGCAAACAACAGTCTCTACCATCAAGGAGCTTACAATCTCATGGAGAAAAACACAGGAGGGGAGCTAGAAAGTAGAGAACAGAAAACGGTGGCATGATGTGGAGATGGCTAAGGCCTGATTCTGGAAAGACAAGGTGAAAACTTGCCAATCAAAGACCAGAGACTCAGGAGTAGAGCCCATAGTTGTGGTGAGTGATTCTTAGGGTCACTTACAACTTCTCTCTTCACAACTTCATTGTCACTGTCAAGGGTAGCACCATCCTCCTGGTCAGCTAGAATAACATCTTGTTATCTTCTTTTGATTCCTCATTCTTGCTAAACCCATGTATGCAATCCTTTGCCAAGTCTTATCATTTCTACCTTAACAGCACTTATCCTATAGGCCCCTTTCTCTCTTTTCATATAGATGCCACTTTGGTTCAGGCCTTCATCTTCTCTCCCCTGGACAGTTACTATATAGCCTCTCATTTGGTCTCACTGCCTCAAGTATCTACTTAGTCTAATCTCTCTTTCACCCAGCTACCAAAGTGATCTTCCTGAAGCATAAGTTTTACCATGTGATCTCCTGCTCAATAAACTCCAAAGCCTCTCTATTACCTTGAGAATCAAATAAAAACTCCTCTGTTTAGCTTTTAAAGTTCTTTATAACCTGGCCCCTTCTGGCCCTTTATTCTGCTCGATATACTTGAAGATCTACATGGTCAAGCATTGATTAAGTATATTCTATATGCCAGGCACTGTACTGTGGACACATAGAAAGGCAAAAGACAATATATGCTGTCAGGAGCCACAGAAATATACCAGATAAACTGAAGACAATCAAGAGGGAAAGCACTAGAATGAAAGGTTTCTTGTAGAAGATGGGATTTCGACCAGGACTTGAAGAAAGCTAGGGAAGCCAAGAGGTGGAGATGAGGAAGGAGAGTATCTAGAAATGGAGAAGAGCCATTGAAAATACCCTGAATTTGAAGACGGAGTGTCTTGGTGGGGAACAGCAAGGAAGCCAGTGTCCCTGGATCAGAGGTGACTGATAGGATGTCAATGAAGTTTTCTGAGTAGGAGTGGTGATGATGGTGACATGATCAGAGCTGAACATTAGGAAGATTAATTTGACAGCTGAGTGGAGAATAGACTGGAGTGGGAAGATACTTGAGACAGGGAGACCAGGCTATAGCAATAGCCCAGGCATGAAGTGCTGAGGGCCAACACCAGGGTGGTGGCAGTACCAGAAGAGAAAAGGGGTAGTATACAAAAGATGTGAAGAGGGTAAAATGGACAGGATTTGGTAACAGACTGGATATGGAGGGTGACCTACTTGTGATTCTTCACAGGAGACTCTCTACCTCCCATCTCTGGGTCTTTTCACTATCTATCCCTCATGCCTGGAATACTCTCCCTTTTCATTTTTGCCTCTTAGTTTGCTTCAAAACTCAATTCAAATCACACTTCCTGGTCCTCACAACTGCTGTTGCCTTCCCAGCTGAGATTACCTCCCATCTATTCTGTTTGCAGCTAGGTGGCACAGTGGATAGAGTGCCAGGCCTGGAGTCAGGAAGACTCATCTTTCTGAGTTCAAATCTGGCATCAGACACCAGTTATGTAACTCTGGTCAAGTCACTTAACCCTGCTTGCCTCAGTTTCCTCATCTGTTAAATGAGCTAGAGAAAGAAATAGCAAACCACTCCAGTATCTTTGCCAAGAAAACCCCAAATGGGGTCACAAAGAGTTGGATTTGACTGAAATGACTGAACATCAACTCTGTTTGCCCTTTGTATATACTTAGTTATTCACAGTTTTTTATTTACGTTGTCTCCCTCCCTTAAAAATGTGAATTCCTTGAGGGCAGAGACTGATTTTTTTACCATTCTTTGTATCTCTAGGGTTTAGTTTAGCACAGTACTTATCATATAGTAGGTGCTTAATAAATGCTTGTTGACTGACTTTAAGACAATCATAAGAAAAACACTGTACTTGCCTCCAAAGAGCTTTATTATCTTGTGGGTTAAGGGATATGTACAAATAACTATAAGGCTCTCTGTTAATTAGAGGTAAATCAGTGATATAACTTTGAACCTGAGTAACTTAGATATGATGAGGAGCTTTTTATGTAACTTCATTCTTTATGCCAAAATGATTTTCATTGAATAAATGATAGAATATGTAAAATTCCAATTTAAAGCCATTAAAAGCATAAACAAAAAAGAATACTTGTAAATGTTTCTGAATCCCAATTTTGATGTGTACTCCTTTGTATGCTGTCAGGAAATTATCTTACATTCTGGAAATCTTTTCTGTTTTATGATAATGCCCTTATTGAGAACCATTTGTTTAATCTAATTTTCAGAACTTCATAATTTCATAATAAAATTTCAACAGAGTGGAAATTGAGCATGCATGCTTATCCCATAAAAGAATTTCTTTTGTGTTAAGAATAAATCTGAAACGCATTGAAATACTTTAAAAGTAGGAGTAAGAGAGTAAGTAAGAGTCTATCATGGAATAAATTAAGACAAGGAGAAAAGAACACTGGGAACTTAGTGCCACACTGGGAACAAAGCAGAATCCTGAATCCAGGGTGTGTGGAGTAGAGGTTATAGAGGGATATACCAGTGGACTTAAGAAACTCCCTTGTCCTACTCATTCTTCTGAACTAGGGACAATGACTTACATTCCACACTGTTGAATTCTGAAGGACTCCAGAGTTCGAGGTTTCAGAGCAGGACAATAAATTCCTGCCACAGAACTTTGGCCTGAAGTGGAAGCAAATCCTTTTCCATACAAGCTATAGAGATCAGTAGAGGTTAGGTATTATACTTTCATGTCCAAAGAGTCTCCACTATAAGACTAGACACTTCTCCAGCTGCTCCAAAGACTGGAACAGAAAGCAGATGGGGCCAGGATATCTGAAGGTCCCAAGGACACTGTAATGTTTTCTACTTTTTTCATACTCATCAAGATCTTGTTCCCCTTGGTCCCTAGAACAGCTTAGCACAAATTTTTACTTCACCAAAGGTACTTAAAATTCCTTCTCTCCCTGCTTCCTACTTTAAAAAAAATTATTAACAGGACAGCTAGGTGGTACAGTGGCTAGAGCAACAACCCTGGAATCAGGAGGACCTGAGTTCAAATGTGGCCTCAGACACTTACTAGCTGTGTGACCCTAGGCAAGTCACTTAACCTCGACTGCCTCAAAAAAATTATTAATGAAAGACAGGTCTTTAAATATGTATTGCTGCATAAAATAAGTCTCCACTTCCTGTTGGCAGGCATATTGTGACATGGAAACAAATGGAGGCGGGTGGACAGTTATTCAGAGGCGAGAAGATGGCAGCACTGATTTTCAGCGAACTTGGAAAGAATATAAAATGGTATGTACAATGCTAGGGTTCAGTTTATCTTAAATTATTTTTCTTACTGAAAACTATTTTTAAAGATCTGCATATCTTAGGGAAGAGAACTTATCCCAAATTACCAAACATTTCTTGCCCTTTTTAAAAAATGGCTGAATTCATCCTACAATTTTCTGATTAAATGTCTCTAAATAAAAGAAGGCTAATATAAAGAAAACATATAGCTAAGTAGAGAATAGCACACAGAATGTTTGTTTTAAAAGGAAGGATCATAATTTTTAAAAAATTTAACTATTTTAACATTTCTTCAGGCAATTTTCCCCCAAGTTTTAATCATTCTAATACTGCTCGTTCTTTTGTAATATTTCTGTTCCTTAAACTTGTCTTTGGTGAAATCTATTTCCTTAGTGTTATCTGAATCTATATGGAGGAAACTATTTCTGTTGAAAGAATCAGTGATTACAAGTTAAACTGATGAACTGTTAATTTTAAACTAGGAAAGGAAAACAAATTAAGTAATTTAAAAATATGACCTAAATTACAGGGATTTGGTGATCCTGCTGGAGAATATTGGCTAGGAAATGAGCTTGTTTCCCAGCTGACTAATCAACAACGTTATGTGCTCAAAATACATCTTAAAGACTGGGAAGGAAATGAGGCCTATTCATTATATGAACATTTCTATCTTTCAAGTGAAGAACTCAACTACAGGTAAGTATATTGTATATAAATAAGGAATTTTATAAGATGACTGTTGAATCAACTTAAAAATTTCCTATAAATGATACTCATTAAATATTAAAGATTAGAGAAAACAAACTAAGAAACTATTAGAAATAGGAAAACATTTTACCTGTTAGACTTTATTTGGTCAGTAATTTACTGTATAAATTAACAGGATAGGATGCACTTACATTCTGTTTTTTTCATTTATTGTAAAGAGTATGTTTATAGGATTTAAAGTTAATAGGGACCTAAAAGAGTAGATAGAATGCTGGGCCGGGAGTCAGGAAGACCTGAGTTGAAATCTAGCCTTGAACACTTACTAGGTGTGTGACCCTCAGCAAGTCACTTAACTGCTGTCTACCTTAGTTTCCTCAATTATAAACTACGCATAATAATAGCACCTGCTTCCCAGGGTAGTTGTAAGGATTAAACGAGATGATATTTGTAAAGTACTTAGCCCAGTGGCTGGCATATAATAGTCCTTAGTAGGTCCTTCTTTTTCTCCTTCCTTCTTTTTTTTCTTTCCTTCCTTCCCCTGCCTAAGTTTTACAGATGGGGAAACTTAGTCTCAGAACGATGAAGTGATTTGCCTAGGGTCCCCTAGGGAGTAAAATGACAGAACTAGGATTTGAACCCAGGTCCTCTGACTCCAAAGCCAATTCTTTTCCCACCTCGATATACTGCTTTACTCTGATCTTAGTTATCAATGTTTAGTTTCTTTTAGTATCATAATGGCAGTAAATCTATAAACCAATATCTTTTTTTTTGCCCCCAAATCCAAATTCTTTTTAGATGAGTCCATTTTCTTCCTCTATTTTATTTAAAAAATACAGAAATTTACTCTCCATAAAAGCCTTCCCTTTATACATCTTCCTTTTAAGATAGTTTTATCATAATGATGGACTGTAAGAAAACTAATGGTGCCTTTATCAAATTATGCAGTTTTAATATCTTCACCTTCAGAAGCTCTAAAACAAAAATAATTTTATGAGATTACCTATGCATTGGCTGAATGACATAATGTCACTTGGAAGGGGGGCATAAAAAGTATATAATGTCACTATTGTGGAAGCTCAGGACAAGCTACCACCAGCTTCATTAATGATGTGTTATTGTTCAGTCGTTTCAGACTCTGTATCCCCATTTGGAGTTTTCTTGGCAAAGACACTATAGTGGCTTGCCATTTCCTTCTCCTGCTAATTTTACAGATGAGGAAACTGAGGTAAACAGGGTTGAGTGACTTGCCTAGGGTCACACAGCTATCTGAGTATCTGAGATCAGATTTGAACTCAGGAAGATGAGTCTTCCTTACTACAGGCCCAGGACTCTATCCACCATGCTACCTAGCTGCCCATTAACAACTTGGGTTATATAATATAAAATATAAAATTCTGATTCCTTTTTCAAATATACTAATAAGAGCTCATATTTCTGTTGTACTTTAAACATTTTCCTTACAACAACCCCAAGATAGGAATATCTTTTTTTACAGACTGGGAAACTGAAACTCAAGAGAGATGAATTGACTTGTCCATGGCCACACATTTAATAAAAGTATTGAGACTAGGGTTTAAATCTAAATCTTCTAACTCCAAGACCTGTGTTATTTTTGTTATAACAAACTGTAGCAACACTGCATTTGATGGGATGCTGTTAGCCAAGCACTAGGGATTGATTCATGGATTTTCAGTTGTACCCACAGAACATTGTACTAATTGCCTTCAACACATTTGCAGTTTCTTAAGTAGAATTCCAGTTCTCTCATCTTTGGTGGATAGTTCTCAAGAATTTTGTATCAATAAACTGTAATGGCCAGTAAACAGGATGGAAGTGAAGAAAAGAAGGAAACAAGCATTTCTTAAGTACTCACTTGCGCTAATCATTGTGCTAAGCTGTGCTAAGGATGGGTGCTCTTGTGAGCTCTTTGAAAACAGGGAATGTTTCATTCTTTGTATCTGCATCCCTACCACATAGCAAAGTACCCTGGCACATTGTCAATGACAAATAAAGAACTGTTGATGGAATCTCAAAAAACCAGGGCAAATATAAATGATGAGATGATCCAGTATATTCCCAGGAGAATTACAAAGCACTTGAAAGTAACAGTTCTCACATTTCTCACAGAATGTAATGAGAAAGTCAGACAAACACATACACATAAGAAATACAAAAAGAACGGCTAGAAATTAAGATATACAGTTGCACAGAGATGTACCTACGTATTAAGACTCAAGAAAAGAAAATGAGAGATATTAGAGAATGTGGAGGGTGGCAGAAGGAGGTATGTTCCTATGCAGAGGACCTGAGAAGGTACTATAATGTAGGATTTTGAGGTGGGGCAGAAGGAAGAATTGCCTGGTAGAATTTAATAAGGAGAGCATTTCAGAAAAAGAGAGTGGGCTATAGGATGGCTCAAGAGCCAATAGGATATAGCCTTCTTAGTGGGAGGAAATGTATTGGTTTTGTCTCTGTATTCAAAATGCAGAACAGCCAATGTAAGTATCATAGTGTGCTGGCCTCAGGAAGAAGGGGGTTCAAATTCTGTGCCTAACACTAGTTTTAGAATCATGGCAAGTTATTTAACCTCTGAGTGTCCCAGAACAACTTTCTTCCAAGTTACTGATATGTATCAGTGGAAGGCATTTCTACATTGAATCTTCCCCATGTTAAAGAAATTACGGGTTTGAATTGGCCCCTAACCCTAAAAAAAGAGAAAATTTCCAGTGCCCAACACATTATAGGTGTTTATTAAACAATCATTAAATTGAAGGACTTGAAACCAGGAGAATGTACCCAGAGGTGGCAAATGTATTGCCTAACATGTTAGGCTCAGTATTAAATTTCAAGATAAGTGGTCCAAAACAGCATTATTTTCAGTAGAGAAATGCAAAACTTCTATAAAAAATATTCCAGTACCTCTATATACTCATCTCTCATTATTTCCTGACTCACATCTTCCACACTTAATGGAAAGACCAAATCTGAACAGGTACACAAACAAGCTTAACTTCCGGAACAAACATTCTAGGCTTAAGGCGGACTTGACAAGTTGGCTTAGATCCAATCTTTCCCTTGTTCTGTGGGCTAACAAAAAACTTCACAATTATTAGTATAGTTCATCTTATAACCAGGGAATTCAAATGTGCAATTCTGTTTCAGAAACAGAGCATTTGAACTAATTGTTACTGAGAAGCTCTTCAAAAAAGTAGCAGTGAAGAGCCTTCTATTATTTCTTTAGAGAGACTGGTGATTGGGGGGAAAAAAGTGCTTTAATTTTACCCTAGCCTTACATTTACTCTAACATGGTTCAAAACTCCACTGCATTTTAAGTTATAAATAGTAAACCATTGTCTCAACTCCAAGTTAAATATGTTTTTCATCTGGAAGCACTTAGAATCTACAGCAGTGCACGTCTTTAAAAAAACACATACAAAAATTAAGGAATTAGAATGTTTGTAGAGGAATCCTTGTACCCCTACTCATTGACATTATTAAAAAATAATTATGCTATACTAAGATAGTTGTAAATAGATACTTCCTTTTGATATGCAATCATCATTTGAATGGGCCATAAAAAGCAATAGCTTTAAACTCTAGTTTAATTTACTTGGCAATTAGAATATTGTATATTTTAAGAATTTGTTATTGTGTTAAGTTATGATGCCAGTGCTAAGATAAACTTTGTTGTGGCTAAAATAGAGCTTGCTTTTGTTTAACTGCAAAATAGCAAAGCAACAAAAGTATCAAATATCAATTTTTATCTTTTCCATTTGTCTCAAATGTCAGAAAAGAAACAGATCACAATAGATAAATCAACCAGCATGGATATTGTCATTACTGATAATGAAAAAAAATTTGTGCATAAATCCCCAAAGTTAGCCAAAATGTATACAAAACCTGAGATTTAATCAATGTTAGCATCAACTATTCTTTGTCACTTTTGAATACAATACACCAAACGGATTTCAATTTAAACCAGTTTCAAGAAACTTCTGAGATTCAGAAGAGACCCACAATTACAGATCTTATTCATTCTGGGAATTAAAATTACATAGCCTTTTAAGAGTTACTAATGAACAACAGATACCTTTATATATTTTTTCTTTTCCTTTTGGGCAGGTTTAATAGATTTAATGAGTACCAAAAATGCTAAAACATACACAATAGAGGAGAGAAAAAAGTATAGTTAATCTCAGTGTTCCCAGTGATTAAACAAAAATTGATTGGGTTTAAAAAAATGAATTTAAAAATCAGAAGAAAAAACAAAATAATCCGTTTTGAAACCTAAAAAAAGTGACATTTCTTGTTTTGTCAAGACTGTGTAGCAGGCACACAGACAGGAAAATTAAAAGACGGTTGGGAAGAAATCAGGAACTCCCCACAAAAATCAATCCTACTTGTCTGAAACAAACAGGATAACACTGAGATTCAGAAATTTGGCTACTGATCTGTTTGTGAAGCTACCAGTAGTACTTCAATGTTAAAAAATGCATTAACCATATTTGCTACATTAGTTACATTGTTTATTGAGCAGCAGTGTGGCATAACAGAAAGAGCAATGAGCTTGGATCCAGGAAGACCTGGATTCAAAACTTTTCTCAGATACTTGTTAGCTGTGTAACTGAGTAAGTCGTCTAACTTCTTGGCAGCCTGTTTTTTCACCTGCAAACCAGAGATTATTAATAGCATCTACCTTCCAGGGTTGTTGTGGGGATCAGATGGGATTATGTATATAATGAACTATCAATGTCATATATTACTGTTAATATTGTTATCTGGTCGTCTCTTTTACTTGACTTTCAGCAAGGTTTTCAGAAATTTGAGTCTGGTCTTATAAAGTGCTAATCACTGTACTCTCTTGGATTTCATCAGTACTTTAAATGAGCATATGTTTTATCTATTCCACCAGTAATATTGAAAATGAATTTCATGGCACCTCTGGATATTCATAAGGTGTCTCTACATTCCTGGAATCAAACTATAACTAAGAAAAGCATTTAAAAATAATTTATCATAATTTTCATCAACATAATATTCTGAAATAGTTTTTATAACACTTTGCTAAGTATAAAGAGTGAGTCATAGAGGCATGGCCCTATCATCTAGCAGTTTATAGCTGGAAAAAAGCTCAAGTGATGTAGTGCAAAGCTTTCTGAATTCCGAGTTAGATGACACTTGGCTTTCAATTCTGCCTATGATGTATACTAGTTATGTGACAAATCACTTTAAACTTCAGTTTCTTTATTCTTATATTGGGGATAAAAATAAATAAAGATTACAGGGGTACTTATCTTTTTTTTGTGCCAGAGGACCTTCTAGCGAAGCCTGTGGACTCCTTTTCAGAATAATGCTTTTAAATGTGTAAAATAAAATAAGTACAAAGGAAACCAATTATATTGAAATAGCTCTCTCTCTTTACACACACACACACACAACACACACATACACACACACACACACACACACACACAACACACACACACACACACAATGTTCATGGACCTCCGGTTGAGAATCCTTGGTACAGAGCATATTTCATAAGGTTATTATGAGGATCAAATGAGACAGTGTATGTAAAGTGCTTAGTATATACATGCTATTAATATAATTAAAATTAAAAGCTTGTTGCAGAAGAGGAATAGACATAAACATATTCATTAAACTTAAATATAAATAGGATTAAGTATCTAAGTCAATGGTAAATTTACTTATGAGGCAATGAATAAGAGAGTAATCAGGGGATCCTGTACTAAGATAAAATCATTTCGTTTTCGAGCTGTAAAAGCTAAGTCTGAGGAGATAACTCATCTATGAACTCCGGGTCCTATCTTGAAATTGTACAAAGGTTTGGGTCCCAAACCATGAAAACAGGCAGAACATCTGTCAGTTTCCTAATCAGATAAATAAGAGGATAGAACTATCTAATTTCCAAGGACTTTCTTGACTCAGTGTCTTGTGATATTGCCTATGGAATATTATTCACTTCAAGGACACATAATTTCATTGGTGTGGGTACTTCCTCATTGCCAAAGATCACTACCCCTTGACAATTTAATATATGATATAGACTATTACACACCTTCCCAAAAAACCTGTAATTTGCTATGTTATTAATATAAATGTTACTTGATACTGAGTTGAGAACAAACTGTTAAGGAGTTCTGATATTCACTACCTACCCTGTTTACCCTAATACTCATTCTTATCCAACCACTTCCATTTCTTTTGGACAGTTGTAAAGGATAACAGTCCTTCTCAAAGGTGGGATCTTTATCATCTTTCTCTCCTCTATTTATCTGAAAGCACTAGGAAATGCATTTAAGGGACATGTGTATTCCTCATTGATTTAAATGCAAGGAAACACCACAAGTTTCGTTTTTACCTTAGACCTTGCTGATAAGTTGGTTCCTGTTTATGCTACTGAAAAATATTTTGAACAGAGTATATATCAACATGGAACAGAACACAACTTCTATTGACCAGAATTTTCATTGTGAAACACTTTTCCACAACTTGAAATCAACAAGTTAGCTTCTGTTTGGTTGTTTTTCTTTCTGCTCCAGGATTCACCTTAAAGGACTTACAGGGACAGCGGGCAAAATAAGCAGCATAAGCCAACCAGGAAATGATTTTAGCACAAAGGATGCAGACAATGACAAATGTATTTGCAAATGTTCACAAATGCTAACAGGAGGTAGGAATGAATTTGTGTTCCTGAGTCTTCCTATTTTTATTGGCAAGGATAAGTATCATAGAGTTAATTTTGAATTTCAAAGTATGACTACTGACAAAGTCCAAACCTCATAATTGTTGCTGTTTCAATGACAGGTAAAATTTGCTTTTCACTATTTTAGTGAATAACTGAATAACAAACTCAAATAGTAAGACATTTATATCTTAAAACATGTGTGTCAAGACCAATAGCTGAGAAACTGGCAAGGAGAAGGGACATCTGGTATCAGGAGGGTCTCTTCTGATCTTGTGCATATTCCTAAGACACAAAGGTTGATGTTTTGTTTTCACAAAAAGAGAAAGAAAAGAAAAAAAGGTAGAGATGAAATCTTCAAAATGTCTACTCAGAAATAAAGCTACGATTTAGTACAGTGAGAAGCAGCATGATGTAGTAGGAAAAGCACTGGAAACTTGGGTTCTAATCACAGCATACATCAAGGTACACTGGGTTTTGAAGGCAGAGGTGGTTACTTAATTTCTCTGTGACCCCAGAGAAATCATTTATTCTCCCTAGACTTCAGTTTCATTATCTATAAGTTGAAGGGGTTGAACTAGATAGCCTTTGATAATACTTCCAGTTATAAATCCATGATCCAATTAAATCCTGCCTCTGAAACTAGCTCTGTAACTATGGCCAAATCACTTATTCTCAATAGGCCACAATTTCTTCATCTATAAAATGGCAATGATAATAGCCATAGCACTTACTTTGTTGGTTTGTTGTATCAAATCAGACAATGTATGTAAGGGGATACAAATACTTGCCATTGTTTGAGTAGAAGGGATTCCTAATTCCAAGAAACTACTGACATTTAAAAATCATATAGAATCAATAACCATAATAGCAGCATATGGCATTTTTATAATGATGTATAATTACAAAACACTCTCACATTCATTATGTCACTTGTTTCTAACAATAGCCCTATGTGGTAGACAGTACATATATTACTATTTCCATTTCACAGAAGAGAAAAATTGAAGCTCAGAAGTCAGGTGACTTGCCCAAAGCCACACAGTTAATAAAAAGCAGAGGTAGAACACCAACCTAGATCTTAAGATTTGAAGAATTCCACTAAATCAGGCTGCATTCTCAATTCTTAAAAAATTAATAAAATGCCTTGCTAACTAGTTCTTTGGTGGGAAAATCAAAAATCATCCATCAAAATGGAAAAAAGATAGCTTTAAACATGTATAATGATTATTAGAATATTATAATTTGACTGACACATGACTAGAATTTCTTTGTAAAGATCACTCAAATAATCAGTAATAATAATTATGACTTTAAAATAATGGTGAAGGGATAAGAAGAGTAGTTTTGTTCTAAAATCAACTGTCTACTTCCCAGTAGAATACATTAAAATGCCAGATTAATTACATGTCTAAAAATAAGAAGCCATAATTTTTAGTTAGTGAACAAGGTCATCCTTATTAATCATAATTACCACAAGAGAAAATGCTGTACTGCTAATAAAAACAAGCTTATCATCATTCTACTTCTCCCACCCCAACTTGGTCCATTCCACAATGATTCTTTTTAGAGCTAAATGGAAGGGGAAAAAAAAGAAAAATATATGTGTGTGTGTGTGTATACATGTATATGTATATATACATGTGTATATATATCATTCATCTGTCATTCCTACATTCTTAGTTCAGTTGTCCATTTCATCATTTGCAGGCCACCCACACATTTTGAAATATTCAAGAGAAAAGTATTGTTGAACCTCCAGAGGGGAAAAATATATTTTTTTCACTTAAATGTTAATTAAAGGTCTGAAAATGGAAAGGAAACAGAGGACATTTGGAAGAAGAATAACCAACCCAAGGGAGAAAGTATAGATCTTTTCAGTCTAAAAGTCAAATTCTAATTTCAGCTCTGAACCAAACATGCCCTACGTTAAAATAATTTAGTAAGTTAACACGGTGGAAGTTTTATAGTTGTCATTCAACTGGTTTCAGAAAATGTATATCTACAAATCTGTATATACAAGGCCTGAGTGTTTTATAGGCTTGTGAACCACATACATTAACTCTTTTATCCTAGATCATTAATTCCTATCAAATCAAGTGAATTGTGTTATAATTTAGGGGCCTGATTGATGTAACAGATGACAGTAGCATTAGTAGTTGTAGCAGTAATAGTAGTAGTAGTAGTAGTAATAAACATACATACCAGTAGAACATAAATTCTGATAAGACTTAGCAAGCTGGATAGGTTTCAACTATGGGGCTAGCAATGGTATTGATGGACAAAGTTCAGCATTATTAAGTTAGAAAGGCTTGTCACCAAACGGTTGACTTCCAGGTGATAAATTATTGATGAATTATTTTTCACACAACTCACAAAGACCATCTACTAATAAGCAAGTGTTCTTGATCCTTTTTGTGTCATGGACCCCTTTGGCAGTCTAGTGAGACCTATGGATCCTTCCTTAGAATAAGATTTTTAAATAGTTGAAAGAAACGTTAAATTTCAGTTAAGAGTGGTAAAAATAAAGATTTTCCATATCCAAGTTCATAGACCCCCTGAAATCTATCTATAGACCCCTTCTGGTGGTCAGTGAACCTCTACAACTGTACTAAGGTATAAAGTAGAGTAATTACAATTTTCATTGATGGAATAAGTACCCGTATCCATAAAATTACAAATCTTTGAAGTTTATCTTAAGATTACTTCTCTAGTTTTTCTTTAGCCACATTTCTGCTTTTTTCCCCCCAAATGTTTCCTCTTAATGGGGGGTCTTAAGTTGAGGAATGTAGTAGAAGGGGGTCTTTATATGCACATGGTGGTTTGTTACAAGTTTAGACAATTAGCAGGTGAAAAAAAGGAAACCAATATGGAAAACTTGTAGTAATATTTAATCAATGAAAAATCAAATTCACTAAGACATGCATTGTAACCTATTTTATAATAATAAAAAAAATCTCATTCCAAAATTGTGAAATGTATGTAAAATCAGAGAAGCATTAGCACTTTCCCCTATAGGAAACTTTTGGCTCTTGAAAGAGATGTTTAACATGAATTACTTCCTAATTTTTTTCTGTTTCCACTTCTGATAGGTTGGTGGTTTGATGCCTGTGGTCCTTCCAACTTAAATGGAATGTACTACCCACAGCGGCAGAATACAAACAAGTTTAATGGCATTAAGTGGTACTACTGGAAAGGATCAGGGTACTCTCTCAAAGCCACAACTATGATGATTCGACCAGCAGATTTCTGAATTTTTTGACATTCTCTGTGAACGGCATCGTGTTAGACTTAATTGGCCAAGCATTTAGACACACAGCTGAATTTTATCTCTTTTTCCACCTCAGAAAACATGCACTTGTGCACCAAAGGATCATGTTCTGTACTGCAACACCGTAATATTCATCACTTTAACCTACACTTTTCAACGACTCAACATAAGACCTACAATATGGAAATAATATGGAATGAAACTGATCTGTTGGAAGGACTGTAGAAAATAAATTTATGTTCAAGAGATTATCTAATAACCTAAGGACTCTTCATAGTCATTGGTGTTATGTGTGAGTTTATCAAGTAAATAACTGGAACTGCAATATTCATAAATAACATAGCATCACTAACTTTAAACGTAACACTTTATCATGGAATTCAATTACTCACAAACCTGCAACCCAGATTATTTCGTTTTATGCTGTTTGTAGATTGTGTAAATATCCATAGTTTCATAATTTTACATCATTCCCAGTATTAAAAAGATAAAACTGTCCTTTGTAAAATCCTCTAAAAGCCATTAAAACATGTATCCAGGCATTTCCTCAGAACAAACAGTAGATGGCTAAATTAATATTTAGGGAAGAAGAAAAGAAAACCTCCATTTTTACTCTTTCACTTAGGTGCTTTGAAGGTTATCTTCGAAAAACAGCATATTTACATATGTTGGCTACTTAATTTTAAACACATTTCAGATTTCATACTTTTTGGCCTTACATTTAAAATCCAGATCTTTGATACTTTCATTGTGGTATATATTTAATTACAATTATATGAAAAATACATTATTTTCCTTACCATCTATGAAACAAAATTATCTCAAATAATTAAATATTACTTGCCAAATAAGACAACTGTTTTAGTTTAAATTTTTAAAAAAATTTATTTAGGATCACTCAGCTCTGTATGGTTGTGAAATTAAACTATATGATTATAACTCAAACTAAGAAGAAATGGCTCTTGAGATGGAAGGAAACTCTACATATTTCATAAATAAGAAATTTTACTATCTTTTTTTTTGGGGGGGGTTATTTCAGGTTTTTTCCCCCATCATCTAATAAGGAGTTTTTCAGAGAAAAAGAGAACAGCATATAATTTGTGGTTAAAAAATGGCTTTCATTTAAAACAACCTTTTTCTCAGTGGCTTCAAATTCAATCAAAACCAGTTTCAGTACTATAATTTCATGATGACTTTAACCCCTAAATTATTACTCTATTGAAGAAAAAAATCATTAGAGGCAATAAGATTTTATTTGCCCACTAACAATGAAAAATATTTATTAAGTTTCAAAGCAATTCCCATATTTTTTGCAAGTACTCAACAGGAGTTTTTTTTGGCTAGGCAATGGTGTTAAGTGACTTGCCCAGGGTCACACAGCTAGTAAGTGCTATGTATCTGAGACCAAATTTGAACTCGGGTCCTCTTAAATCCAGGGCCAGTGCTCTATCCACTGCCCCTTAAACAGTAGTTTTTAAAATACAGTTTTATTTTTAGAATTCCAGATATAAACTCTAGGAATCTCTACGATGGACAGACCAGTTGATTCACAGGCAATTTCTACATAGTTTAGACCTTAAGAAAAGTGATTTTGGAAAACGTACTTGGATCCTTATACTGCTACTAAACCTCAATTTACAGAACTATCACTTGTAGCTGCAAGTTCAGAATCAAATCACGGATTGTTTTTTTTCCCTCCATGCATATACTTAAGAAAGTATAGTGGCCAAGCAGCCAAAGAATCTGAGAACACTTAAAAAGGTTTTCTTAATAAGAATTTAATAATAAGTTTATGATGAAAAGTTCAAAGCACATATTATAAGAAAAGCATTTGATAAGAGAAAAAATATTTAATTAAAACAAATTTTTTTAGGCAATTGGGTTTAAGTGACTGGCCCAGGGTCACACAGCTAGTAAGTATCAAGTGTTTGGTCTGAGGTTGGATTTGAACTCAAGTCCTCCGGACTTCAGGGCCAGTGCTGTATCTACTGCACCACCTAGCTGCCCCTGAAAAAAAATATTTAAAAGACTACAATTAACCTAAAGTGTATTTCTGAACCAAATGCAATGATTCGTATGACTGGCAGTGAGTAAGGAAAGCCATGGGGGAAAAGACAAACTTATTATTCGATTTGAATGGAAAGTTTGCAAGAAAATTCCCACAATACTGTGGATTTTAACTTACAAAACACACCATAAGCTTACTCAGGCTACTACAGAAAGTTTAGTGGTATTTTTCCTTTATGCTTCAATTCCTAAAACAGTAATTTAAACAAAAGACACACTCCTGCTGAGAGACATTCCTATTCTATTAAAAATATTTGTAAAGTCAGAAGGAAATCAAAATAATATTCTTAAAACAAAAACAACAAACAACCATGATAACCACAATAGAGCAGAGTTCAACTCTCTTGTTAACTTATCCCATATAGCATACTCAATCAACTGAGTAACAGGGTGAAAGACTTTTCAAAGCTGAGAAAAAACAAAAGCAATTCATCTTCAGAATAGATATCATTTTGGAGATTAAATTGTTGTACATCCTTGTCAACACTTGTGAAAAATAAATCCGCCCTCTGTGCAACCTTACCCTAACATGGTCTTCATATGACTATTAACAGTATTAATTATTCTCTTTAAAAAGTGGATACAGGAATAGTTTTACTGGGAGTTTTGACTCATGGCTGAGTACTGTTCAATGTAGAAATATATGAAATACTTTTAAAATCCTGCAATCCTCCTCCTATAATTCTATCTTCATTCACAGCTTGTACAATCATTGGAAGAAATGAAAATAATAGCAGGAGATAAGATACTACTGCCATTCCAGGCAGATCCAAATATTTTAAACATCTGATTTGCTTCATTTTAAAGAACTCTATAAATTTTCAAGTGCTACATAAATGTTATTGTTATCATTAAAAATAACTTTTGTAGTATTTTATGGGAAATTTTATTCCTAGGTCAGTTTAAAATGCTACTTAATTTTCTGAATGTCCTTAGGAAGAAGGTAGACAACAAATGGGTTAAGCTCTGTGTATATTTTCCAAGTTAGATATACTGCATCCTTACTGAAGGAATTTTATTATTCTTCATCTCTCATTCTGTCACAATCTGGTGAGAAAATCAAATGGCACTCACAGACATAAAATGGCATTAGACTTACTGAAGCTGCAGGGAAGCTGTCTGAAAGTTCATATGGCTCCTCTGAAATCCAATGGCCAAACTCCAAAGACCACAGAACCTACAAATGGAATAGAAAGCAGTTCACTTCTGGCTTTACTGTCCTTTCAGTAAATAATAAAAAGGAGCAGTTTGAAGATATAGGAAAAAAAAGAAACAATAAAATCTGAACAGCAACAGTTATCCATTCCATATCTCTGAAACAGATGTCTATGTGAACACTGGATCACTTTCAAAATAATAATATTGCATAAATATTATAAATTCTAATAAAAATTTGGTTAAGAGTCTCATGGTGACTAAAAATCTCAGTTAGAACACTGCATTGCCAAATGCTAGAAAGTTATATTTTTAGTGAATATGAATGATATCATATTTTGGAAAAATCCTAATAGAGACTCAATTTTCAGAGCCATTTAGAGCTTGACTAAAAGAAAAATTCAGGTTTATTATTATTACTACTAAATGATTCTTAAAGATAAATTAATCAAAATATCATCAATGTAATAATAAAATAATAAGAATCAAAAATAATGATAGAATAAACATCAACCAGGACAGCGGCTCTTATAAATCAGCACCTCTATCTTAAGGAATGGCGAACATTTTCACATTATGGAAAATTCCTATAACGTATTTTATGACCACTTAATGATTTATAAAGGGAAATATGGTCCTAGAGGCATATAATATCCCATAGGCAAGCTTTAATGACTGTTATTATTTTAGCTTGTAGCATTGTTAATGTTTAAAGTTATGTTTTGTTTTAAATTCAACCAAGATATCTGACTCAAAGCAATAAATTCCAGTCAGTGTCTACACACCCTGAAAATAAATATTTTCTTTTATACGCACTAAATATATTACTCTAATCACAGTTAATCTGGCAGAATTAAATTACACTGGTACGACTTATAGAAGAGCCACAATATGTTTTCTTTGCTCATTCAATGCAACAAAGTGTTTTCCAAGATTTCTACAGATGGGGTAATCTAGATATTTTTGTTGAGTTTTCTTCAATGAATTATTCTTAACTATTCCTTTCTAATACTTACTAAGTTCAGAGCCATTTATGTTATACCTGTCAAATTTTAACATCAACCTTTTATGTTTGTTCACTATGTACTCAAGTTTATAATTAACCAGCTTGAATCAGTAATATGGCTTTAAAAAAAGGAAGCACGGATCATGATACTACAATTTACAAATAAAATATGGCATATGCTATGCAAAATTTACAAAATATTTTATATACATCATCTATATTCATTTAGAGAAGGATACATTCCAACCCTGGTTTTCTGATGTTAGGTATAGTGTTCTTTCAATTATATTATGCTTCAAGTCAGTAATGTATTCCTAGAATTTTGATCATGGTCAAATCTCAGTAATAACAGGATTAATCAATGAACAAATATGTCTTGTGAGTCTGTGCAAGTAGGAGCCTACATAAAGCACAATAAGGAATATAATAAAGCATGTTTCCAGCTCTCAAGAGCTAAAAGTCTAATTAGACAGATAGTACATAATCACACAAAAAGTTAATTAAATAATGAAAGGGTACAATTAATAGGCCACATGGCCCTACCTGCATCCATCTTTCCTTCATATCCAGCCTCCCTCAAACCAAATATATAGGAGTTCCCTTCTCCATTATTCTGAAACCTTTGTTTAAAACTATCTTTGGCATTAGAGGGTTAAAGCAAGGTCTTAAAGCATTTGTTAGCTGATCTTTAAGATATCTGAAGATTATCAGAATGACTTTCTCACCTCCATATCATCACCTTAAGATCACTTCCATCTGCATTATCATATTAGATATGATATGAAGTTATTATCTTCTGATCATCTGCAGAAATCTCAATAATAAGAGAATACATGCTCATTTTCTGCAAAGACAACACTCTAACTCTCCAATGCCACAGAAAGTCTAAAAGGGGAAGGCTTCAGGACAATGGAACTCAGGACTTGTAATTTCCTACTTTGTGTAAAGGGGAAGGGAAGGAGAAGGGAAAAGGTCTAATGAGAGAAATGTCTTATCTTGGCTTTAAGAGAATAGTCAAAGATTCAATTTCAAAATTTTATAAATGTTTTGGGAA